CTCCGAGCCGCTACTAAGAAGGCCAGCATAAACTAGTTGTTGGACTTTTTCTCCGTCTGCCACTAAGGCGGCGCTGACTGAGAAGCCTAACACAGCTAGGTATAGAGTCAAAACCTCTTCTTTGAGGGTGGAGGAGCCACTAGCACCGGTGGTGGAGCCAAATAGGTTTTGAGGGCCTGGAAAGCCTCTTCACATTTTTCATCCCAATGAAAGGCTGCCTTCAGGACCTTGAAGAACGACTGACATTTGTCACTGAAACGCGAAACAATTTGATTGAGCACTGCTATTCTTCCGGTTAGGCGTTGTATCTAGCGAGTGCTGGTAGGGGATTTCATTTCTAAGACGGCCTTCACCTTCTCGGGGTTTGCCTCGATACCCTTGTTGTTGACTATGAACCCCAAGAACTTCCCTACTGAAACTCCAAAAGTGTATTTCACTGAGTTCAGTTTCATCATATACTTCCACATTATCTCGAATGCCTCATCTAGGTGTTGAATATGGGGTTCGAATTTAAGGGACTTTACGGGCATGTCATCTATATACACTTCCAAAGTTAATAGGTGGCCCCAACGTTCTTCAACCCAAAAGGCATGACTTGATAGTAGAAAATCCCTTGCTCTGTGATGAATAAAGTCTTCTCTTGATCGTTCAGATCTATTCTGATTTTGTTATACCCCGAGAAAGCACACATGAAGCTGAGGAGCTCTTGGCCAACTATGGCATCGACTATCAGGTCGATCCAGGGCAGAGGAAAACTGTTATTGGGGTATGCTTGGCTCGAATCAGTGAAGTTGATGTAGAGTTGCCACTTCCCATTTACTTTCTTCATGAGCACGACATTGGTCAACCAAGTTGGATAATCTACCTCCCTGATGGTTTTGGCCCATAGCAGCTTGGCCACCTCCTCATTAATAGTTTTATGCTTGTCTGGTGCGAAGCTTCTCCTTTTCTGTCTCACTGGTTTACAGTTCGGATCCACACTAAGCTAGTGTATGATCTCTACGGGATCTATTCCTTCCATATTCTCTTGTTTTCAAGCGAAAACGTCAATGTTCTCCTTTAAGAACGAGATAAGTCTTTCCTTGATATCTTGGAGTAGCATTGAGCCTATGAAGATCACGTGCCCAGGATCCACCCGTACAAACTCCAGCTGCTCTATAGGAGTGGGTCGCGCCTCCAATTTGTCTCTCATGTCCAAATCCTGCAGCTGGACTGACTCTACCTCCCTTTGCTTCATTAATGCCACATAGCATTCCCTTGTAAGGAGTTGGTCTCCCCTGACCATGCCGACCCTGTTTTCAGTGGGAAACTTCATTACCAGGTGGTATGCAGAGGGTATGGGTTTGATGAAGTTAAGGGATGGCCTCCCGAGGAGAATGTTATAGGCGGAGGGTGTATCCATTACTAGGAAACGAGCTGTGGTGGTGACCTAACAAGGTTGATCTCCTATGGAAAACACGAGCTGGATGGACCTGACAGGCAAGACTTTCTCACCCGAGAAAACTAGGAGATGGGTTTTTATGGGCTCAAGCCTCGACTTGTCAATGCCAAGCTAGTCAAAAGCTGACAGAAAAATGATGTCGGCTGAGCTGCCGTTATTAATGAGCACCCGATGCACAGTTTTATTCGTGATGATTTCCTTAATGACCAAGGGTTCGTCATGTGGGTGCTGGCATCCTTTAAGTTTCGCATAGAAAAAAAGTGATCTCCACATCCCGACGAGGTGCCTTTCGGATAGCCTAGACTTTGAGAAAATCTTTTGACTGAGCTTTCTTGGTGTACACCTTTCATGTTGATGTTGCTGAGGGGGCACAGCGGTTGCTTGTGGTCTCTTCCTTGATCGTTCTGTGCTCTTCCTTCTCCTACCACGTAGTGGCGTAAGTGCCTCTTCTGGATCAAGTGCTCAATCTCCTTCTTAAGCTGGATGTAGTCATTTGTTTCATGGGTCGTGTCCTTGTGGAACTCATAGTATTTGGAGGCATCTCGCCTTCTAGGATCAGACTTCATCCGAAGTGGTCATTTCATGAACCTCTCATTTTGGACCTCGTGGAGGACTTGAGCGATGGAGGTAACAAGAGGTGGAAGTCGCAGTGGAGTGTGTCTAGATTGTAACTCTTAAGGCAGGGGCTCAAGGCGATCTCTAATGTTGCCTCTCCTTTTTGGGAGGTCTCTTTCGTTTCTAGGGGAACGATCCCTCCGTGGGGATCGATCTCGTCTTCTCTCCTTTCTGAGACTTCTCTCTCTTCTTCTTTTCTCCTTCTGTAGAGGTTGACCTTCCTTTTAGTTGAAGGGCCTCCTCGTCATTGATGTATTTCTTGACTTTTGCGAGTACCTCATCCATGGTTGCCTGAGGGTTCTTGGCAATCTAAAACATGAGGTCCTTAGATTGGACTCCGAGTCTGGACATAAAGGTGGTAAATGCGAACTTGTCGTCCACGTTTTCCACCTTTAGGCATTCTTGGTTGAAGCGTTTTACATAGCCTTGGAGGGACTCGTTGGGCCCTTGTTTGACACTCAGAAAGTGATAGGACAGCTTCCTGTATGTCCTTGCTCCGATGAAATGCAATACAAATTGTATAGATATCTCTCTGATGGAAGAGATCAATGCCGGTTGTAACCTGCTAAACCAAGCGATTGTCGACCCTTTGAGAGTGATGGCAAAAGCTCCGTAGCGAAATGGGTCTGGGTACCCCTGGAGCTCCATCTAATTTTTGTAAGAGTTCAAGTGATTGACTGGGTCTTTAGTCCCGTTGAACGCTTCTATTGATGGCATATGAAATTTCTAGGGGAGAGGAGAATGGAGGATCTCAAGAGCAAACAATGACGCAGTTTGCTGGACCAGAGCATCCACGGTGTCGGGGGTCTTCCCCTTAACCACTTCTTTCATGTTTCCCAGCTCTCGCTGGAGCTCACGAAATCTTTGCTCCAACAAGTGATCCATGGCTTCCAGCGGGGGACAGGATCTATCCTCTCGATAGGCGGCTCTGGCTCGATTGTGGGCCTTATCTTCGTCGTATTTCTCCAGGTGTCTCCTCTGGTGATTCTCTTCGAAATGGCTGCACTCATGGAGCTCCATGACCCCATTAGGTGGGGGTTGGCATTCTTGAGGGGGAATGTCGTGTTGTGATGGAGGCGGAGGAGGCTCCTAATGTGCTCGTGCGAACTGCAAAAGCTGGTGTGCTTGTATCCACATCATCAACTCTTGGTTCTGCTTTATTAGTTGCATCGTGATTCGATGATAGGCTTCCAACTCATTGAGCAAAGGGAGATCCACTGTCGAAGGATGATTCTCGATGCCCATTTCGGGGGCTGGAAAGTTCTCTGTTAAATTTTGGTGAACTTGGGGATTGGCGTGAAATTTACTCATGTTTCGAGTTGAAACCATCAAACTAAAAATTAAAAAAAAAACGATGAAAATCATTCCCACCGACAGCGCCAACTGATGATGCTCGGAAAAATGGCCCAAGTCCGGCAAATGGTGTTCTAGGGATATTAGTGGATTAGCTGAGTTAGAGGTCAATCTATGGAAAACAAAAGAACATAATGCGTAAGTGGTTCACCTCAGCCAAGAGACTAAGTCTACGTCCACTGTAAGAAGACTCGTTCTTCTTGGGGTTGTATATCATTTGATTTGAGGGAATTACAATGGTGTATGCTGGCTCGGGGCCTTTATCAGAACAAATGCTTTTAACTTGACTTACTGCATTTAGGACTACGAGAGCGCAACGAAGAAGATGAAGCCCCTTCGGCTAGGTTACAGTACCCTATTTATATAATGGCTCTTCTAGGATTCCTTGCTACTCGTTCTTCCTTTTTGTTGATTCTGTGGGTCCTCCCGCCTCTGTCTTGTAGCAACCTCTATCATTCGGCCCTATTGTTCATCCGATACTACTGTTCCCACAATCCGTGGATGGTTATGCATACCAACACCTCTGCTCCAGGGAATACATGATTGTCATAGGTGTCAGAAGTGGTCCTTTTGTTCCTAGGACACGTGGCCCGACAGGAATGCTCCGGGACAGGCACTGTACTAGGCTCCTTTATCTCGAGCCATCCCTTGGCTTAGGGCTGGGTTGGGCCTCAAGTCTTCTGGTATTGTTGGACTTTACCCTTTGGATTTGGTCCTCTCTGCTTTTGGTGTGGACAAGATGTGGGTGGTCCTGTTCGGGCCATTATGCTGGCAAGAGTTTCTTGGATTTTATTGGGCTCATGAACCATGGCGGCCTATACCCAGGTTCCCATCATTGTTATTACTGAAAATCAATAAATTCCAATATTTAAATTGATAAAATATCACAAGAAAATTAAGAAGTTTTAATAAACTTTATTTTATTATTACAGATTTCATCTGATATATCCTCTTATTCCTTTGAAGGATAAAAAGAGTAGCAATACACCTAGTCTTCGGTTTGTCCTTGCTGAAATAAGGAAAGATGATGTGTTTTCCATTAAAGATGGACAAAGCAGTATGAACTGTTGTTTGCTATGTATATTTTGAAATAAAAAATTTTATAGTGAACCTTTGTATGAAGTTGCTGCCAAATGTCCTTTGCTTGTCCATTTCTTGGTTTCCTAAAGAATTTTTTAAAACCTGATAAATCGTTTTCCTCTCTGACCAATTCATACTGTATTGCAATGCTCGATTACCATGGCATCAGAAAATTTTTTAGTACATCACGAAAGCTTCAGCCTGCTTCCATTTACAATTCCATCTTAGCCAGCAATTCCTGTAGAAAACAGTTACAAGCCAGTTTTAAATCCCAGAGGCCGCTGACTGATAACCGTTTTAATTGAAGAACTGTACTTTTACTACTTCCACACGGTTCATTGTAAATGTCGACAATGAAGACGAGACTCTTTCAATGCATTGGTGATGGGCCGGCACAATGCCAGACTCTTTCTTTCTCTATAAATGCAGCCCAAAGTAGTGTTTCTTTTGCAACTCAATTCTTACCACAGCCCAAAAACACATTTAGTTCCGTAAATATACAAGCTTTCAAATGGCATCACAGTTTGTCTTGTTAGGACTCTTGGCAATGACTTGTTCAGCTGCTTTGGCATCTGACCCCAGTCCTCTTCAGGATTTCTGTGTTGCAGACTCCAAAAGCCCAGGTTTGTTGATACTTGATACTTACTTCTTTCTCTCTAATTTTTATAGATTTGTATTTAGTCTCTTATGTATGTTTACTGCTTCGCTTCTTACAGTGCTAGTAAATGGGTTGCTGTGCAAAGATCCCAAGATGGTACAAGCAAACGATTTCTCCTTTAATGGGCTTCACCTAGCTGGCAACACGTCGAATGCAGTTGGATCACGTGTAACACCAGTATTTGCAGCTCAATTGCCCGGACTCAACAGTCTTGGCATCGCTATGGCCCGAATTGATTTTGCACCTTGGGGTATCAACCCTCCACACATACATCCTCGGGCTAGTGAAATTTTAACAGTCCTTGAAGGTAATCTGCAAGTAGGGTTTGTTACTTCCAATCCAGAAAACCGTCTTATCACAAAAGTACTTCAGAAGGGCGATGTATTTGTTTTTCCTGTGGGTCTTGTCCACTTCCAGCGCAACATTGGATATTCTAATGCTATTGCAATTGCAGCTCTCAGTAGCCAAAATCCTGGAGTGATTACCATTGCAAATGCAGTATTTGGATCAAATCCCGACATTCCTAGCGATCTTCTTGCAAAAGCATTCCAAGTGGATAAAAACGTTATCTATAAGATCCAGTCGCAATTCTAAGACAAACTATTTGAACAACTTCTCAAGAAGATTGATAAGAAATTGTTGAGTCGAACAACTCGTTTATGTATGTCTAGTAAGTTATTAAGTTGATTCACCATGTTTATTGATTGGTTTCTTATTCCATTAAGTAATGAAGGTCGATTATGATCAATGCAGATCATGTTTGAATATTTATGCAATTATTGTTTCAGTTTAAGTTTTGCTTTTTTAGCTCCCCAAAAAATCTTCTGTATACCCCTTATTATGAAAGAATTCCACTTTACAAGAAGCTGATGTATGCAACGCATGATCCTCGGTTTTCAAGTTCTTTTCAATAACAAATCAATTTAACTCGCATCCATTCCCAAGAATCTCACCATCATCTCTTCTTTGCTTGCCCTTACTCAAGGTTCATCTGGTGTCATCTGATGCTTTTATGTGGTGAACAATGGCAAACTACTTCATGGCAACTCCTGCTTGATCAAGTAGTTCAAACATGGAAGGGTAAATGCATGCTCAGAACCCTTCAAAAGCTACACCTCTCTTAGCTATTTACTCCATTTGAAGAGAAAGGAACTCGAGGCTCCATATACACCAATCCAAAAACTCCAAAGTCATCTTGCAAGCTATTGTCCAAACCACTAGGGACAGAATATTTTCTCTTAAATTCAAGATCACTCCAAGGAACAAAAGATTACTTCTAAGCTAACAGCTTTCTATTTCATGCCTGCTATGATGTCCAAGTTTGTTTTGCATTGAATTGTATAGGAATATGGGTAATTCCCATGGGGTACTCATCTAAAGCTTGGTACCTCTTAGGAATTCTCCATACTTTTGCTCACTAATGGGGTTTCACTGCTTGTATTCGGTTTTGTTTTGATGTACATCACAGATATTTCACATGACTGAAAAAATTTATACTTTCCAAAAAAAAAAAAAATCAATTTAACTCTACAGAAGCTGTTGAAGTTCTTCCATGTGCAATACCAAACCGAGCGAAATAGTAAGTAGGGTTTCGGCATATAGAGTTGTAGAATTGTACAGTTGTGAATGTGCAATATGGTAAACAATCAAACAAGAAATAAAAGCAACCATGAATAATTAATATAAAGACTTGCATAGTTCAGTGAAATTTCTCCTATGTCAACAAGAGGAGTTGATTTCATTATATGAAAATTATAATTGGGTTAAAACTTATTTATAAAGTACTAGTAGGGTCAATCACATAAAATCTAATCGTGGCAAAACTTATATAGCAGATTTAAATTACAAATTCATAATTGCATTCACGTTCTACTATGTTTTACCCAATGATCATCGGAAGTTTGACTATGGTGAATATGAGTTTCATTACTTTCCAACATCACTATTACGAAAGACGGGGTAATTTATCATAGGTCAATGTATTACCTAGTAGATGGATAATGCATTATGACACCATGTCTTTGTAGTTATGATTCAACGCAGAAGTAAAAGAAAATTAATATTCCATAATCATCAATAAGGTATGTTTGTTTGTAAAATGTTTGTGGCATTTCCATTGTATATCAAATGGCATTGACAGAACCAACTGGTCACGATAGCCGCATTCGATTTGAGGCCCAAGCCATTATCCCAAGAGTCAAATATCCTCCAAAATTAGTAATGGACGCAATTTTTCCTGTTTTAAGAATTTCAAACAAAAAATAATAAACTCGATGTCACATAGAAGTAAGAGGTGCCAGAGACACTATATTGATGTCTTTCGAGTCCTATTGATGCACAACCTATAACAGAAGATTCCATAACATACCCAAATCGTATGAAGTGGTGCTAATCCGAGTGTTGATTGGAAAAAAATTTAGCCTATAGTGTCGGAAAAAAATTGCTCAAGATTGCAATCCAGAAAGTCCTCAGCGACATCTGCAAAATTGAACGTTATCCTAGTCAATTTTATTTGAACAAAAAATTGATCTTGGAGAAGTTACTTGGATTTTTAATTAATTTTAGATTACTAGGATTTCTTTTTTATATTCTTTTAAAAATTATTTAGTGGATTTTCTTGTTATTTTAAATAATATTTTAAGATAAGTCGTCTTTCTCTTCATCCAATTGCTTTAGTATTCTAGCAATTAACAAACGTTGACGTGGGGATAATCACCAGATTTACATTTTTTATGCTCTCCACATTACGCACCTAGAGTAGTGGATGAAACTCTTATATAAGGGTTTTAATCAAATCGTGTCACACCATATTTGAATTGTATCATTTTGATTACTTCTCATATATGGCTCGTGTTTATAGTTGTGTAACATTGTTTTCGCCATTTGTCGTGGAAGTTCTGAACAAGAAACAACTACACTAGATTTTGTTTTCTCTTTACCAAATCTGCCACAAACAAATCCTCCATAAATAATATATATATACTTAACACAGCCTAGAAAGATCAAATCAAAAACAATTTGATTATGCAATTATTAATTCAATACCAGATCTTGAAACGAAAAAAAAAAATTGATGCACATTATACATTGAAAATTATTTAGGAAGACTCATTACTCATTAGTGAGTTTCTAGTGACCAATGATACTCTTGATTCTCCGGCCTATCCCCCTTGGTCTACACTTGCTTGTCCAACTGGTTGAGCTTGCCATAAAGTTCAACATGAATGCTTCCCTAATAACAACCACAACAGAAATAGCTCCGTTACTATGTCAAGCTTGTACATGTTGCAACAAGAAGAGAATTAAGAGAAATCGAAGCATATTTACCCAAAACGTTGCTTTGATCTAATTATCATCTTTGTAATTAGTTAATCATATTTGATACTGACCCAACTTATTTTCTTCACTTAATTTGTCATATCTTTTCAATTGGTGTTGTATTCAAAATTGGGGGGAGTGAAGCAAGACCTTACCACATGTTGTGAGCCCAATTGGATATAGGGTTTCCACTTTACTGAGTTTCTTATTGCCTACTTCATGGACGTGGCCCCAAAATGGCCAAACTATTTTTATTTGTGTTTTCTTCCTTTCTGTTTCTGGTTTGTTTTTTTTTATTTCTGGAGCTTCTGGTACATTGTCAATTCAATTTCTGTTTTGCTAGTTCCGGTATTGACAAAATCTCTTCTATACACAATAATTGTAAGACTCCGCACAAAATTTAAAGATGGTTAACATGATATTAAGAGTATTTCAAAAATGATAATAGAAACTTTGAATTGTTGTTAAAAGATTAATCATGAAGTTTGAGTTCATGCGTATTAACTTTCGAGTCAAACTTAGTTTTAGAAGGATTTAAGCTTGAGAAATATGGCTAGGTAAGTTTCTAAACGACTTTAGATTAAAATAAGGTCACCATTGAATCCTGAATGTCCAGAAATATTGGGAGAGGTAATATGGGGTGTATTACAAGTTTGAAAGTAATATGTAGTTAAAACGTATTTTAGAAAGAATTTGAGTAGGAAGAAATTTGACACTACTTCAGTATTTTGATCGAGACTTTTTTCCCTGATGTCTAGATGATCTGACTTTAGAACATTCGAAACTAGAGGTCAAGAGTTACAAAAAAATGTATTTAATGAAAATTTCGTAAATTAACTTTTAACTAGGCCAAAACTAAATTGGAAGTGCAGACATAAAATTGTAGTACATTCGAGCGTGAATCTATGTTCGCGGCTTAGGCCCAGAAGTTTAGAATTGACAGAACAGGAGATATTGGAAGTAGAGCATGTTCGAACACCAAGACATTCAAACGTAGACGCACGTTTTATAGCGATCAAGCTCGCATTAGCTGAACATTTTTGACCCTATAAATATTCCAAGGGCATTCTTTAGGTTAGTTTTTAATAGTTTTCAACCCAACGGAGCCAAAAAAGGGTGAGAAGGAAGAAAAATGACAAGATTGTGAGGAATTAATGCATGAAAATTACAACAAAACACGTTAGAATCAAGATCTACGGAAATTAAGGTATGAGTTCTTTCTCAAATTCATTCATTGAGGAATTAAGTTTATATTATGTATATTTTCATACTTTTTTTGTAATTATATGTAGACGATCAATGATTTGAATTTTCAAATGATTACTGGTAACATTTTTTATGAATAAACACATGATTTATATCGCAAATCCCATAGTCTCGATTTAGAAACTATAATTCTTGTTTATCATCAATTTAAATATGTTTCTTGGAGATCTCTTGCATACTTTGTAGAAACTATAATATTTGCGCAATTGTGGAACCATGATTTGTGGTTAGATGTGAATTGTATGAAAATTATTTCGTTTTTGTATGGGGAGTGATCAACGTGGCTTACCTTCGACCGTGTATTGTGTAGTGCACAAATATATTTCTTACTCTGAGGGATTTGGAAGGTTTCCTATCACTCGTAGTGGAATTGGTTGGTTCCTTGTTAGATTCAACAATTTGTAATATTCGCTCATGAGAGATTGAGATTGGGGGCTACTATACTATTACTATGAAGGATTCGTCACTAATGATGTGTCGGTATACGCCCTTCCTAAAGTGGTGTATCCTTACGCGCAGGATATACTTGATGTTTAAATTCCTGCTAGTCTACCTACGTATAGAAGATATAAAGGTTTTAATTATCTATTGCTTTGAGGAATTTTATTTTTTATTGAACCTTACAGTTTTGCACGTAAACTTGATATCTTATTAACTGTCACTGTTTTACTTATAATTATTATATGTCATATTATCAACTAAGACTGAACTATTTGATTATTTCAAAGCTTTGTTTGGGTTTAAGAAAATTTTTGTACTAAGCTTGTTGCTCGCCCTACCATAAATATTTTTCAGATTTTAATGTTAAAGAGAACCTAGATCTATGTGAGAAGGTATATTGAGATGCTGATGTGGATCATAACGTGGATTCAGATGTTGAAGTTTAGAGGTTAACTTTTAGTTTATGAGTTTTAGATTTGAAGGTTTAATCGCGTTATAGATGTTATTTACTTAGTGTTAGTGAATTTTATTTGGATTTGATGTAACCTAAAAAAAAATTTGTTTGATTT